GGAGCCGCTGCAGCCGTGGACGCGCCGGACTCTCCTGCTGCTGCTGCTGCTGCTGCTGCGTCGCTGTCTCGCTGCAGCAAGAAAACAGGAGATACGTCTCCGTCTTGCCTCTTGTGCTGAAGAGCAGCGAGGCCTTGCAGCTCCTGCTGCTGCTGCTGCCGCTGCTGCTGCTGCTCTGGCGCTGCAGTTGCTGCTGCTGCTGTTGCTGCTGCATCTTTGTGTGACACATATGCCGTCTTCTGGCTACTACTTGCTGCCTTCGGCAGCCGACAGTCTTTCTGCAGCTGCCGCCGGGGCTTCTGCTGCTGTTGCTGCTGTTGTTGCTGCTGCTGCTGCTCTCCCTCCTGTCCCTGCTGCTGCTGGCTCTTATGTTTGCTTTTTTCATTTCCGCCGCGACAGTTGCTTCCGAGAGCTTGCTTCGATGCAGCAGATGCTGTTGTTGCTGCTTCTTTGCTGCTGCTGCTGCTGCTTCTGTTTCTGCTGCTGCCGCCTCTGCTGTGGCACAGCGCTGCACCAGAGCTCGCAGGAAAAGCTTTTGCTGCTGCTTCGATTCCTTTAGGCGCAGCAGAAACAGCCAGAATGTCCCACAACTCCTCCTGCAGCAGTTGCTGTCGTTGCTGCTGCTGCAGCTGCTGCAGCTGCTGCAGCTGCAGCAGCTGCTGCTTCTCTTTTTGCCGCTGCTGTTGCTGCTGCTGTTTCTGTTTCTGCTGCTGCTGCTGCCGGTAGTTGTGCAGGAAACCTTTAGTGCAACTTGCTGGTGTCAGCCCTTTGCTGCATTCAATGGAGAGCAGCTGCTGCTGCAGCTGCTGCTGCAGCTGCTGCTGCAGATGCTGCTGCAGCTGCTGCTGCAACTGCTGCTGCCGTTGCGGAAGCTTGCTGGGTGTGCAGAGCGGGCTTGCAGCAGCTGCAGCAACAGCAGCTGCAGCCGCAGTCGCTGCAGCCGTCGCTGCTGCAGTTGCTGCTGCAGTTGCTGCGGCAGCAGCTGCTGCTGCAGCGCCAGTGGCTGTTCCTGCTGCAGCATGTGTGTCGCTGCTTGCCTTTTGTTTGCTGCTGCTTTCAATATGCATCTTTTTCCTCGGCGGAGACAAAGAAGGCTGAGTCCTCCCCACTCCGCCGTCCCTGCCGCTGCTGCTCCTGTTGCTACTGCTGCTGCTGCTGCTGCTGCATTTGCTGCTGTTGCTGCTGCTGCTATTGCTGCTGCATTTGTTGCTGCTGCTGCTGCTGCTGTGCGGCACTGCGCGGACAGACTCACACTTTGGCCCTAAAGAGGGCAATGGGCG